ATATTGACGTGATTGTAAGGAATTATTCCACTTCATACCCACTTGTGTTTGTTGTCAAAATTGTATTCCATGCATGTACTTTTAATTACAAAATACAAAAAATACTGAAGACTTTTGGAATCGTAGTTAAATTACCAGTGAATGTCTTTCAACTGATATTTAATATTCTGAGACTAAATTTACTAGTGCATTAACTAGGTCACAACTTTAATCATAAGTCATAGCAAAATACACATTTGTTGCTTTAAAGTAGTTCAGTGGAATTAGTGAAAGCAGCCTAGATCCCCTCATAAGCTATCTGAAGCTAAGCCAAAAATAGTGGATGTTAATTCCATTTCTATCCTAATCCTTTCTCTGCTTGTCTAACAATTTTCTATATATTCATAGCAGGGTATCTGCCTCAAAGTTCTTGCTTTCTTATTTGTGTATTCAGGTGCAGATTTCCTTTGAATTTCCAAACGAAAAATCTCTCAGATCACCTCAGAATCTACAATAGGTATTTTTGAAGAAAATTGCTTTCCTATAAATTACATATTTACTTTTTTAAAAGCAAAGTTAAGCAAAGCGGTCTTCTCCACCCAACACGGCCCATAAAGTTGTGGCAGGTCCCTAAGTACCCACTGAGCCAGCTGTGTCTATATCCCCGTTTCACGTGGGTAGTCCATCCCTGATTAGCTGATTCACAAAACACAGTGGCATTGCACGACCGTGAAGCTAGAGAGGTTTGGTGGTTTGGTGGTGGATTTTTTTTTTTTTTTTGTCACACTGTCCTCGGTATGTGCCCCCAGCCCCTCCCTGGTATGTGTGTTGGTAGAACCATCCAGACACTTCTGCCTCCTACCCCTTCTCAGAAGTCCTCAGCGGGCTGTGGTCTGCGTGAGCTCACGCGTAGTGTGCGTACGTGTGGCATCACGTCTCTTCTGCAGGGCTGGATACGTACGTGTAAGAATTCCCGTGTGCCCTAGGGCATTGGCGCCAGCATTGCACGTGTGAAATATAGAGTTTGGGAAGGTGGATAGGGAGTTGGATACCATTTCCAAAGCCTTAGGAAGAAGGGCACCGTGTGTGCAGGTTTGCCTTGGGTTCATGCCACGAGCAAGTTTGCGTTTCTGCAGAGGGAAGCGGTCTTCTGTTTCCCCCCTGTGCTAACGTTAGTGATCGGTGTGGCTGGATTGATGGTCTGATATAGTGAGAGCTAAGCCAGTTAAAATAAAAAAAGAAAAAAAAAAAAAAAAGAAAAATCAGAGTCAGCAAGCTGATAGGGTTTGTGGCACACCTGCACGCTCACTCATGCCGCTGTGGAATGCTGTGGTGACACTTGGCTGCAGCAGAGGTGAGGAGAGGCCAGGTCTACCAGGCATTGATTTGTCCTGCAGCCGTCACCCTCTGTGCAGAGCTCCACGTGTGCAACCTGGCTCAGGGCCCTGCCTCTGCCGGGTGGGCAAAATGTGCTGGCTCTGTAGGAGCTCGTGGCTCTTCCCAGAGTGGGAAAAAGGAGCAGGGAATGGAGGGAGAAAGCAATAGGTGGCCTATAAACGTTCGTGCTGACTGGGAAAACAAGTTTGGATTTCAACACAATGGGAAAGTGCATTATTCTAAGGGAAGCTGATTCATCTTTGAATGGGGCTTTGTTTTCTTTTTTGCTGTTTTTTCCCCCATCCTTAACTATGTCCTGAAGTATCAGGTGAGATGCTCTTTTACTTAACTGGTAATTGTTCCCATGGTTTTTAAGGTCCAAAAGTCATAGGATAATTGTTACAATTGCGCTAGCATGGAACACTGGTCTACCTGAGCAGAGATGTTCAAATGCTGTTGATAGTTGCTGCTTATGGTGTTATATATGCATTTGTACAGCTGTACTATATGTAGCATTGGCCCATGGTCTGGATTTCAGCTGCAGTTGGAGTCTATGTGGGTGGGACAACCCCAAATTTCTTCAGAGTTCTCTTTGAAGGTGTCATTACAAGCATCACGCTGGATGTTGTTTTCAGTGACGTCAATATATTTGGACTGTTTCATTTATTTGAATGTGTTTCTTCATGTTCAGGTGATGAATCGATCTCAGATTGCATCACTTTTTCCAGTTACAGAGATTTCTGCAGCAATGCTACATAAAGAAGGCAAATAGAGGTCTTGGTATATCTGTGTGTATATACGTATTTGAACACCGTGAACTTTGTGGGAGAGCTCTTCAAAGTTTACACAGCATTCTGTCATCTGTAGAAGGATATGTTTGAAGCTTCCTTTCACCTGAGACTCAATACTTGTGACTGAGGATTTCCATCAGTAAATGTTGTTTCATCCCAGTGTGTGTGAGAGCCTTTGCAGGTGTTATCTTTTAAAGAGATTAAATGTGAGGTCTCCACCTTGCAGACAGCTATGCTCTGCTGTTTAATCCTATCAACTCCTTTGAACTCTATGTGGCTATACCCATATGTGTCAGTGGCTGCGGGATAGATTACACACTGGAGGAGATGCACAAAGTGCTTTAAAACTGTCACTTCCCCAGTTCTTGCTTCTCTTCTAAGCATTGAGTGAGGTTGTGTGAGGGCTTTTGAAAAACATGGAGAAATGCATTGATGGCCAGCCTGGCAAGAAGTGGCTGCTTTTGACTGCAGCTGTGCTCAGCAGTGCCTCTAACCCAGGAATGTGAAATTCCATTCCTGGAAGAAAAGATGCTTTTGTGTTGTCCTTAGATGCCACCAGTCTGTGGAGTCCCACTGGCCGGAGAGACTGTGTGGCATACAGAGCAGGCTTGGTGCGGGTGTAACTGAGTTCAACTTCTAACTGAACAAGCACCTGTGAAGGAGGGGAAACCACCTTTTTTCTGCATACAGTCCAAATTTGAGTCCACCCTCATGCTAGAGGATATTGCTGCTGATCGCAAGTCCCTACAGCACAGCCCACAATGAGAAGCTTCTCAAGGAAGTGATTGCAAATATTGTTGTTTTTTAATGTTCTCTTGCTCAATTTAATTTCATTATGGAAAACAGCCAATGCAAGTGAATTTCAGGTGATGGGAAAATTGCAACCTGAACTTGAGCTTGCCAAAGTTAACAATGAAAATGGAATGACAAGCGTAAGCACTGACTGCTGTCTGGATCGGCAGTAGAGCTCTTGGTTTGCAGCTGGAGCAAAAGGCGTGCTCTTTATCAGTTGTGTTGGTAGATGACTCTCTGAACCTGTAAAATATCATATTAAAAGGCTCACATTTGAAAAACTTCTCACTGAGGGGTTTGAATGTGAGCCACTGGTCTCTTGGTGTTTTGGGTGAGCTTTCCTGTTACATTTACAAAGTGCTTTTGTCCACCACGTGTACACACCTTTCCTGTTCCACACATTTGTTTTTATTTCAGTGATACAGTTAACAAGAAATTGTGAAGGTTTCTTTAGGAATCCTGAGAGGGAGGCAGAGTCTACAGAGTGCATGTGAGGGAAAGTTATTTAAAATGAGAACATGAGGCTTCCAGCTATACTTCAGCACAAATAATTACCCTGTAGTACATGCCCTGGAAGCAATGAATAAGCGCTCTACATTTTTCTGTGCAACAGAATGGGTTCTTTTAGGAAAGAGATGTATTTCTGTGTATGTGTGTAGACAGATATGTGAGCATATTAAAATAACTTAGCTACACAAATGTTGAAAGACCTCTGTGACACCAAGGGGATCTGAGTAGGTCAATCAATGGGAGATCTGATTCAGTCAACAAAAATGGATCACTAAGTCTGGTTAGATTCAAAATCATTAATTACAGCTTCTCTTAGATGTGGAAGTGCTAACACAAATGTTAACAACATACAGGATACTATACCCGTCAGTAGAAACAAGTGTTTTCTAACAATAAAAGTGACTGAGTGCACTGAAAAAAAAAAAAAAGGATAGAAGAACCACAACACTTTGGTTAAAGATTCTCTTGTTTTGCTTTTATCCTGCTTCTGGTGCAGTGAGTACCTACCTTCCACAGCCAGGGTGAACTTGTGGATTCCCAAAGGCGATTGGCACAAGAAGCCCAAACCATGCACTGAAGCACATACCCCTAGCAGACTCTGCGCTGAGATGCAGACCATCCACCCGGCTCCCTGGTTCCTAGGGGAGTTTCACCTCCAGCCTTGCACTGGACCCCTCTTTGCTGCCACCTCCTATCGTGCCAGTGGTAAGCACGAGCTAGAGAGCCCACCGGTCCTGCCGTGGGCCAGCGGGCTATCTTCGCCCCATGCTGCCCAGCGTTACTTGTTCTGGGAACACTGGCGCCGACTCCATGCAGGCCTGGCAGAGCTCATTTCCATGGGTTTCGTGTTATGTCTCCTCTGCCTCAGGTGGTCAAAGCAGTTTTGTCCACATCTACTGTACATTGGTGTGGACTCTGGGGAAAACAGTTGACTAAAGCAGTGATCTTCCTGTGAAATGAAATCCAAAGCAGCTTGTTAGGAAATGTAGGGGACAGTTGTTGAGGCTTTGTTAATATTTGAAAGCTCCATGAGTGACTGGATAAATTCTGAAATGACAGTGTTGAGAGACTAAAAACTGAACAGTTTTTTGTTTTGACAATACAGTTAACTTCATTGGCTTAATGAACACCGTGGTGAAAAGCTATCTTGTTTAAAATTACTTCTGTCTTGGTTTAAGTTACATGACATCTCTGGATGCCCCCAAAATTGCTCCAGTAAATTCAGGGGAGGTTACACTTGGCAATGTTGAGATAGTTATTGTTAAAAGCTAGAAACCGAGAAGAATTTTTTTCCCTTTGTGTTTTATGAAATGGAAAAACCCCAGAATTTCAATAAATCTGACTCTAATTCAGTCAAAAACCCGTTGTGGGTTTCTGAAAATGGAAACTGGCCAGTGTGAGTACACAGAGACTACAGTGTAGCACTTTTTTAAAAGTATCTGTGAACTGTGAAAGCGAGAAGCCCAGGCAGAAGTTCGATAGAGATTGCAGTTTCCAGTGCATATATTTCCTTCTCAATCACTTCTTTTTCTTCTCCACCCTTTCTTGCAGATATCTCTTTTTTGCCATGTCAGCTGACAGCCGCCAGCTCCACACTCATTCCTACCAGGAGGCACTAAGTTCTACTTGTCACGGTCTCTTGAATGTCCACAGTCACCCCCTGTCGAAGAGCTCGTCAAATCTGGCCTATACTGGGCAATCAACTGTAGAGGAAAGGCAAAGCAACAAACAGGAGCTGAAGAAAAGCCACAGTAGCACCATCTGCCATACCCTGGGAAACGAGAGCGATGCCAGGAGCGTGCCGAGTCCTGGATGGTCCTTCTCGCAGTCTGGGATGATGGGACTTGGGTCAGTGGTCCAAACCATAAGCAATCAGTCAGCTGATGACAATTCAGAGAGCAGAACTAAGACTACAAACCATTTTCTTATCACCGAACAGTCCCCAGCAACCTGGGAAGTGGGGGACACCAAGATGTGTGTAAAGAGCAGCACTGTTGAGAACGTTTCTTCAGGCTGCATTGTACACCAGCAAAGCATGCGTGAAATGGAAGAACCAGGACCTGCCCTTCAGAGAAGCCACTCAGACCTAACCTGCACTTGCAAACAGCAGACTTATGTCACTCTTGCAGAAACCAGTGCTACTCACTCCAGCCTAAGCTCTTCTAGCTGCAGGCATGGTCTGCCAGTGGCTAGGATGTCTTTCCAAACACAGAGATATGGGTCAGAAACAAATGAAAATGCATCTCACTATCAACACCTTGTGACTCGTCTTCCAGTTCTACCTCGAGACCAAAACGTACCCACAAATAGCTTCGACAGCAGTGGTATTCCGCGTAATAGTACTGTTTACACAGATCCCAGAACATTTCACACTGCTGTTCTAGGACCCCAGATGCCTGGAAATGGCTTCTCAAACAGGACAATGTTCAGTCAAGCCACTGGGATTATTCATGGTGGTCTGACTTACGGTAATATCCCAAACTCTGCATACTCGCCTGTGGTGATGACAGTTCATAACAATTCTGCAGGGCCCTGTAATATAAGGCAGGACCCTTGTGTGAAAGTAGATGCCACTGTCCCTGCCTATTGCCATTCTTTGCCCATACCATCTATACAACTTGTTCCGCGGCTGGTATGCTCAGTTAGCGAGTCGGGAGAAGAGCAGGCGGCACCTGGCTATTTTCATTCCTTTTCTACTTCAGACATTCTGACATATCCTAAGCTGGTGTCTTCAGTAAGTGAATCAGGCCTGGATGCCAAGAAAGTCCTCAAGTGCTGTAGCATTCCCGCAGAACAACTGCAACGTGCTCAACACTGTGCTCAGCAGGAGAGAGCTCCCCCAGAAACAAAGGCTGCCTGTGTTGCCTTGAGTAGCCAGCAAGGTGCAGACGTGGTAATGACAACTAAGGATATGTGGACTATGACCTCTATGAATGATTTAACCAAAGGACTGAAACCAGCTCTTGAGCGTAGAGATGCTGAGGTACAAACTCTTCCAACCGTGGAATGCAAATCTGTGGCAACCAGCCCCGCGGCTGCAGCAGAAGGCCACTCGCATGTGTTCCCAGAGGTGAACCTGGAGCAAGACTTGGAGGCCCCCAAATCTCCGGTACGTGAAGTGAGATGGGATGACGAAGGAATGACATGGGAAGTGTATGGGGCATCTGTGGATCCAGAAGTCCTTGGGTTAGCCATTCAAAAACATCTTGAGATTCAAATAGAACAATTCCAGACGGAGCCTGCTCAGCCAGCGGGGAAAAGTAATGAGGAGCCATCTTCTGAGAAAATGGGGAAAAAAAGGCCATTCAGAACAATGATGCATTCCCTGAGATACCCGAGCTGCTGTGCTCGATCCAGTACTGCAGTGGAGTGAGCACAGCTGGGCTGCTTTCACAGTGTAAATAAACGCTGACTCTGTGTTTCCACAGTACGTGTGGCCAATCCACTTCTGGGTAGGTGGGAAAAGTTCAGTGACCACCAAACACACATCAAAGCAAGGAAAAACCCCTGGCTGAGCTGTATAACAGAGGACATAATGTCGTACTTACATCATGCCATCTGAATTATCTGAATTATCGTCTGAATACTTAACATAGCACTGTTTCATTCTTCTATGTTAGTTTTAAATCATGCTGTGAGGAATGAGACTTCTTTTCTAAATGATGCATCTTTTTAAAACAATGATGACTTTTTTTTCTGTATTTTTAATAACTTAGGGTTAGAAAACAAAGTTAGCAAATGACGCTTTAATCAAAGTTTTTAGCTTTCAATCCTACTCCCTTAAATTGTTTTGGGAGCTACTTTGCTGTTTATTTATGATAATGCTGACTATAAACCCACTTTAACGGTAGGCAAAATGACAAACTAGTGTAATGCTATGTGACAAAGAATTGTAACTTTTGCTACTGTGAAGTAATTTTGATACTGCTAGTCCAAACTCTTCCCTTTGCAAGCTGATGTACAGTCGGAGGATGCTCCTGCAACTTTCAGATTAGTGTGTAGTTATGATGAATTACACTCTAAATATCCCAAACTGATGTTTACCAAGTGATTGACACAAATGTACAGTACTACCAAAGATGGCTCCTGTAATGTGAATTACTTATTGAATGCTTGTTTCTTAGAGACAGGAAACAAAAGCTGTTCAGATTAGTCTGTCACGCTATCATACCCTACACATCATAAGCAGTTTTGTTTTGCTTATATTAAAAGCAATTTCCAGTGAGTTCTTTTTATGTGCATCTATCCTGAACGGTGGTTATTTTATTGTTGCATAAATCTCAGGTGACAATTTGCATGAAACCTTCGCTCGTCTTGTGTTCCCTGTCTGGGCTGGCGTCAAGCGGCTGCTGAAAGCGAAGCTTTTTGTGTCCTCACCCAAGTACAGCTCTGAGGTTTTGTGTTCCGAGTGCCTTGGTCATATGGGCAGCTTAAAGTTTTCTTTCCTCCCCAAACCAATTTTGCAAACGGTTTCCCAGTGAGAAACCTGTTATGATACTGTAATGCAGCCATAGTGCAGGGCCTGTTTGAAGGGAAAGGTTTGTCAAGGGACTATTATTTCCAGCGTCACGTGTGGCCTTTGGTCAATGTCTAAGACTCCTCAGGAAGCTGGGAATATGCAATATTTTTTGATGCAGAGAGAGGAGGAACGTTCGTTTCTGTCTCAAAGGAAAACTTGCAGCGTCAGAGAAATTACACTTGCGGAACTTTCCATTCTTGTTTAAATGTGTGTCGCTGTGCTTTGGTTTTTTGCTTTGCTTTTTGTCCCAGCTTCCTAAAACAGCGTTAGCAGGCTGCCTATATAACATTGACCTAATATGCCTATGAACTGGAGCCCCTGGCACTTAGGTCGGTTTTAAAATTTCAGCTAGAGAATCCTTAAATATAGGAACTGCTAGCTGGAATGCGCTGTGATGCATTCATTTCATAACATAGTGTAGTTGAAGATCAAATTTTCATTCCTGGACAAAGTGGAATTAAACAGAGCCGGCTCCTGTGAAACTTGTTTTGAGTTCAGGAGGCTTCATTCAGGCCCTGGGACTTTGGCCTCAGTAAAGTCTGAACTAAAACCAACTTTTATACAAACCAAGTCTGAAACAACTGGAATGTGATGCCTTACTCAGGATGCCCCCGTAGCTGTGAGCATCCAAGCTTTGATCATGATTCTAGATGTTAAAGTTCCTTTTATTCAAGCTTTACTAGCAGGGAAGAAGTAATGAGTAACTAAAAAAAGTCACTTCTGCTTGCTCTTAGCATTTAGCTAAACAGTTTCTATATGAGCTTTTTTTATGATCTGGAGTATCATAAGCCGTACCAAACACTGATTTCTTGTTTTCTTCAAATATTACACTCTGAGAATTTTAAGCACTATAATGGCCTAAAACCTTACATTTTCTGTTAGCTTGTCCCCAGGAGTGCAGGAAAATTAAAGCTTTAAAATAGCAACTGTACCTTGCTCCTATGACCAGCATAATCCATACTTTTAAGCTATTTGACATGTGGAATAATCTTGATTCTCCTTCCCACCCCCCCCGTCCCAAGCACCCCTCCAAAATAAAGCCTCCAACTGTAGGAAGACGATAAAATAGATTGATTATCAAACCAGTCAGAAAGAGATCGTTCACAGAAGGGACTGGAACAATATGGCAATGTCCCTTGAGTGCTTTGGCTGCTGTGTACTATAAAAGCTGGAACTACTCTTAGATTTCATACAGCTCTGGTGTGAATTACCTACGGTTTGTGCATTGGTACAGATTTGCTATCACAGTACTAAACACTGATTATCGTTCCTAGATGAGAAAAATAAATGACAAGCAGGGGGAAAGGACACCAATGATTTGCTAATCAAGAAAAACAGGTGCTCACTCATTACAGGTATGGTGACTCTTTAGGGTACTAATTGGAATTGCTGTTGGTAGCAAAACCAGTGTTTGTCTGTGAGGATTTCCTATGCTTTTGGAAAGGATTAAAATGCAAGGCGTATTAATAGAGATTGGAGGGGGGGAAACCCAAGCAAAATACTCATCTCAATATTAACTACATGGATAAAATCAGTTGTTTCATTTGTATGATGGACACCCCTTAAAAAAGGATTTTGGATTTGGGTTCATTTTTTTTTTTTTAATTTAAAAACAGTCAAGTTGTATATTAAGTATTCTTCATATTAGCACTCTGTTCAAGTGTTACTTTTGTAAATGTGAGAACTCTATCTGTTTTTTAATGTTTTCTAACTTGGGAAAATCCAAATATATTACATTCTACTTTTAAATATAAATAAAGTAGGAGAACTTACACTAGATTTGTAACTGTGCGGGTCACTGCTGAACACGGATGCTTGTCAAGCTAGGGTGGAATCAAGGTGTATTATTTTCCTGAGACCATCTGAAAACCAGTTAGGGTTGCATCACGTTGCCTCTGCTCCCCAGCCTGAACGCGCAGGTACCACGTACAGCCGATCGGCTCGGGGCTGCCTTGCGCACAAACCCTCAGTGAGGGCTGCACTGGCACACCGGGAGCTTAACCCTTTTGCCTGCGCTCCTTCTTTCCCTTGAAATGTGGGGACAGCCACCTGGTAATGCAGTATTTTGGATATGTTATATCATCCCTAGATGCTACGTCGTGCCTCCTGAAGGACCGAACGGGATACGCTACTCGATGGCTGTAGGATTGATGATGGGCTGAGATGCTTCAGACAGTGATTCAGCACAGACTGATGGGAACTGCTGCTGGTGTCAGCGTGCTGATGAAGTAGCTCTGAAAGAGAAATATAATAATGAATTTCACTCTGAACGATTATCTTTCTCTAGTTACGAAGGAGATGTATCACCATATTTACTGTTACCAGTCCTGGAGGAGAGGCCAAAACCTGTCAGACACTTGCCACTGACTGACTTTATTAACATTTTATAGTTGTAATTTGAAATAATCTTTGGTTGTGGGGCTAAATACTGAAATTGAGGATATTCTCTCAATGTTTTAAATAAAAACCTTCCATAGTTAAGTCAATTTTTTCAAAAAAAGTTAAGTCAATTTTTTCAAAAAAAACCTAAGAAGTTGTTTAGTCAACATCATATCAGTTAGTTTTAAAATTATCATATTTATTTGGTTGGTCTTCTCCTGGAAAATGTTAATTTGTTCTGAGAAATGGCCTCCTAGAGTTGTGTTCATGACGGGTTGCTTAATGGCTGGGGATAAGGTGGGAGGGCCACCTAACCAAAATCACTCTGGGCCCAGTAACGCAGGTGCCCCCATAACAAACTCCCCAGTGATTCCTGCCGCCCTCAGGGCGATGAGGAGAGGCCAGCGGGGATGGGGTGTGCAGTGGAGGGGCTGCCCGAAGCCAGCAGCCCTGTGATGGGGTGCTGTGAGCTCTCTCACCCCTGTTCCAGCCCACGGTGTGTTTAGACCACTTGCCTTCAGCCTCGTGCTGCTGGAAGAGACCTTTAGCTGCTACAGCCTGGATGCTGAGTGGGTCCTGCTAAGGATGGTCGCAGACCTCACCCTTCATACCCAGGTTTTTGTGTTAGGAATGCCTGCTCTAGAATGAGCTGCTCTGCCTTCCAGATGTAGCATAAGGAATGGCGTGTTGTGCAGCTGAGCCAAAAGGCCCCACGGAGCGACACCACTCCATGGCCATGGTCCTCTGAGGTGGGAGTGAGCTGGGAGAAAAAGGCAACCAGCTATTCCATGCCCAGCTGTAACCAAAGGAGAAAAAAAGCATCTCCGCCATACAGGCTAGGGAAGGTGTTTCTTCCCTTGTCTGCATATAGACTGTAAGAAATAATGGCAAGCTGAGCTAATTGCATTATTGGATAGGCATTTAGTCGTTTAAATCCAAAGCAGTAATGACCTGTCTGAAGACGTGCTGAGGCAAGAGGGCTTCTGGAAGGGTGTTACTCCCTGTTGAAGATGGAGTAAGAAAAAACGTGTAGCTTTGCTTAGGAAAAACAATGTGTGGTGAGGTTGGGATAAAGCAGAATCTCGGAGCAGACAAGACCCAGGAACCCCAGCTCCAAAGAGGGAGCGGGGCCAGGTGCCCTCCTGCTGATCCCCTCTCTCCGGAGCTTTTCAACTGTAAAATTGCAATGTTAATACTTCATTACCATCTGTTTCTTTCAGACATGTTGAGGTGATTAATTTGTCTTCTTAAGCCCCTTGAAAACGAAAGCAGTCTATTAGTGCTAATACTGTTAATTGGCAAGAGAGAAGGAGGCAGCATAAGGGTTTATGAGTTGGAAATAAATAATTCTAATCAACTGCTACGGTACCAGTTAAATAACTTGGTGGGACGTGCTGTGTCAGTCACTTGCCTCTCTCCATTTTAGGGGACTTTAGGACTCTACAAGTGAAGCGAGTTTTGGTTTCTAAGCTTTATTTCTTTTCCCTCCATTCAGAACTATGGATGTGAAATGAAGAACACAACGTGCCTACTGAGCTTCTTTCCAAAGCCTTGTTATTCACACAGGTCACAAGATCCAGCTGACCCTCTGCAAATACGGTGAACCTAATGCCCGTGAGCAGAGCCCTGGGCTGCCTGTGCCCGCGAGTACAGCGTGCCTGCTGCGGGAGCCAGCCGCGGTCCCGACCGTCCCGCTCCCCTGCCCTTCTATGGGGGGTAGCTCTACAGAGCTACGTAGTTTATACAGGGGAAGAGACTGGTAAGCGTTGTGGATTAGTGGGAATTTTGTTCCTTTTCTTGCCCAAAAAGAAACTTGCAGCCAAAACTTCTGCCCGCCATAAAGGTGGGTGTGTTCCTTTTTCAGCTCTGCAGGCTGGAATGAGCGTATCCATTTTCTGTGGGGCAGCACCCCTGCCCTGGGCAAAACCAGTGCTGTGGAGTTGTTTCTTCATGCTCCTTCACAAGAGTAAGCACGCAGTCGCTTGTGGCTTTTACTGCCAGTCCACGTCAGCAAAGGGAATGGTGCATCTCCTTTGCCATGGTCACTTGGATGTCTGGCTTCCATCTTTCTCAGGCTGTAGAAGTGCTGGGTCTTGAGCTGACAGCCGTCACACGTGTGAGGGCCAATGTGTTCAGATCGCAGAGTACTAAGCTGTAGCTTGTAAGTCTTTAGAAGCATTAATCCTATCTAATATGTGACCTAAACAGATGTCATCTATC